TTATCTATTATAATTAAACTAGAATATAGTTCTTTTTATCAACAACTCGTTAAAAAAAATAACCAAATTAATTATTTTAAAAATTCTTTATTAATTTATTCTGGAAATTTCAAGATGTTATAGGTTTCGTTTATTTTATATTTTAACATATGAAGGAATGATAATGTAATTAATACTTATATATCTCAAGGAGGGCAGTATAATTTACTTTAATAATTAATGTTAACTTAAATGAACTAAATTGCATATTTTAACATAAGAGGGAAAGACAGTGGGATACCCATATCTCTTAAGGGATGGTAACGGCATGTGCAATGCATATACATGTTTATTATATGATTAAAATTTATAATAAATTATATATATATATATACCATTTTTAATATATAAATTATATTTTATATTTATATTAAATAATTTGCTTTGTAATAAATAAATATTTTTATTTATTTGATAGTTTATTTTGAAATATTAATATTTAATTCATAAATAATTATGATATATAAAAATTAATTCTATTATTAATGAAAAGTTACTAAAAACATTCTCATACAAAATAAAGGTTGGTGTTTAATATATGGTGGTTGATTTATTAAAACTAATGTACTTTGATTGTTATTTTTTATTTATAAACAATTGAAAACTTAAATTTTGTTACAAGGTTATAGGTATACTTTATATGAAACAATCTTATTCGAATTAGAAAATTTAAAGGTCGAAAAATGTGAAAAATGAAAAAGAAAATTGTGAAAGGAGAAATATGGAAAGTCAAAGGAGGAAAATAAAATAAAGATAATTTAAATGAAATGAAAAAATTAAGAAGTTTTATGTCACAAGGTGAAAGAACTTTAATCTTGTATATAAATATGTAGATCATCTTATGTCCAGTCCCTTTGATTTTGATCTTCTTTGTTTTATGTTGTTTTCAATGAACCCAGCAGTCACTTGACAAGTTTTAAATAAACCACAAAATCAGTCCGAAGAAAACCGGTTACAGAACCAGAAAATTGATATAAAATCGGTCTAGAACTAGTAAAAAAAATCAATTCACAATAAGGGATGTTAAAAAACTTGTGTACTTGCGATATTGGCAGATAAAATTTGTTATGGGTAGAATATTTATTGTAAATAGGTATCATTACAAGGAAATTATCATATAGTGACACAAATTTTATAGTGATATGATATGTGTCATTAAAAATTATTTTTACTTACACAATAAATATAATATATGTTGGGTATATATTAAAAAGGTGTGAGTATAAGCTATAGTGACACACAAAATATGTTGTTAAAATCAACACTAAAATTGTGTGTAGCTATATATGCCAAATAGATATATACCTACATATATTATACTTATAGTCAGTGACGGATCCAGAAATTTTTTATAGTGGGGGCAATAATTATTTATATATTTATAATATTAAAATTTTTAATATAACTTTTAAAAGTATAAACATATATTATAATTATTTTTTACAAACTTTTATATCTATACTTACAATTAAGAATAAAAATAAGTTAGGTCAGACTATGCTATATTATAATTTAGTAGGTTTGAACCTAACTTTTTTTTTTATTATAAAAAACACATGTCTTAAATACTTATTTATCTATCATATACATTTTTTAAATGTTTGGTTATAACTACAATTCTAGAAATATACTTTATAATAATTTAATACTAATAAAATCATAAAAATAAATATGTTAAATTATATAAAAATCAAGTTTAATTTATTTATAATATAAACATGTTTTTAATATCTAATATAATATTTTAGATAATAATTTATTTCAAACATATTTTATAATAAAATTTTTAAATAGAATATAAATCTTCCAATCTTTTCCATTTTGATTTTTTTAATTAACATATAGAATATTACAATCTTTACTATTTAATTTTTTTAATCAATTTATACATAAATAAAAAAGCACAAAAGGTAAATATATATACTACAAATTTTATTTTATCAAAAATTAAACTTTTTAAAAAAATTAAATTCATTATTAAAAAGTATTCTTTATCATGAGAACTATTCTCCTTCGAAAATTTGATAAATATCAAATAAATGAACAATTATATTAAATTTATATTTTATAATATGATAATTTAAATATATATGTTTCTTTAATTAAAATATAATTTTTATTTTTAAAAATAATTATTTTTTGGATAAAAGAATACATGTGTGTAAAATGGTAGTGGGGGCATGTGTCCCCACTCTCTTCTTCGTGAATCCGTGCTTTATAGTGACATTTTTTATATGTCACTATATGTAATATTTATTGTAGTCCGTGAATAATGAATATAGATATTTTTATACCTGTATGTTAACGAGATATGTATAAGTATAGTATATATAGTTGTAGATATCTACTAATATTCAATTATGTAATTACATATTAAAATTTTCTAAACTTATAAGATAAAGTATTTTAACAATTAAAATTAATTTTTAAATTAAAAAATTTATATTAATAAAATTTTGTATAATATTTGAATAATTTAAGTTTTAACTTTAAACTATTATTTTTACAGAAATTACTAGAATGAATAGAAATTATAGTTAAAGAATTTTTAAAAATTATTATTTTTTAAATAGATATCTACGATTACTCGCAAATATTGAAAAAAAAAATTTGAATACTGCTTAACCATACTCATACAAATATGGGGACAAGTACAAGACAAATAGCAGGAGGTTACTATCTATACAGATCCCACCCCCATTGACATCTCTATTCACAACTGGCCAATAAAAAAATTCTTAATACAATTTTTTTTTACTTTTCCTTAAAAATAAACTAATTTAAATTATTTTTTATTTTTATTATTCTAAATATAAAGTTATTATTCACAATAACCAGCTTCAACTCACTTCGGCACCTTTAAGTAGTTAAATAAATATTAAATAAGCCTTTCTTTATTCAACAATATATTAAATAAGCCTTAAAATGTCTAGTATAAATATCATCAAATAGATATTAGTAATAAATTAACGTAAAATATTTATCAGAATCAAAAAGGTTGAAATATAATTATAAAATTAAAAAAAGGGTAAGTGTGAAAGGGTCTTTCTTAATAGCAATAGTAAAAAAAAATAATTGCGCATCATTGACATATATAAAATAAGCTAAGGAATTATTATTTATGTGCGTATGATTGAATACTATATGAATTTATTTTGATATAGCTAGACGTATTCAATTTCGTAATAAAACCAAAAATTGTACTAAACTAATTGCTTTCCATAAATCGAAAAATTACAAAGCTAAAACTTCAGTTTTATTATTATACTATCGTTTTGTTTTACTCAAATAAATTTGGTTTGATTACATAGTATACTATGATACTCCTATTATCAATAGTTAGCCATATGCAGCAAATATATACAACCAGATGAAAAAAGCAGAAAGAGATGAAACTTGAACCTCCTTTAGCAAAAGCAATGCTTCCACGTGAAAATTCTCAGCTTATGGAGTAAATTTCTGTGTAATTAAACTTGTTTACTTATAATTGGGATTCCAGTTTTCAGATGAGTGAATAAATAATGTATACATGCATTGAAGTATATATAAAGGATTTTTACACTATCATTCGATTCCAAACTGGCATGCATGTTAAAGTTTTTAATAATTATCATAAAAATAATGATGGTCTTGATTAGTATATTGTGTAAAGATTTACATTGACGATACATATAATTTATTTATTTTTCCAAATTAGCTCCAATATGACGAGCAAGTGCCTAAGGAAAAATATAACTGGTAGCCCCATTAGTGTCACGAGGCTAACAGGGACTTGCGAGTAAAATTTACTATAAATAAAAATTAAATAATTATGTAAAAATTGTTGGTACAAGTAATTTAACATTTGTATTCCATAATTAAGAATTTAAGTTTAATTTTCAATTCGAAAATGAGATTGTGACTAGATAAACTATTTTATCTCTAAATAAATGGACCAATGAAAAGAGAATTAGTAACATACCAAATAATTATACTAAAATAAAAATAATTAAATGAATTGTCACTTGTTATCAAGATAGAGGCGTATAATAAAATATTCATACCTACAAGTATAATTAAATTTCAAATGAGTATTTTAAAATTTAATTATATTTATTCTATACATCTACACATATAAAATGAATCTCTCATTTTTACAATATTTTACTCTTATAACTATATTCCAAATCATTTACTTTTGAATTGAAAACGACTCATTATTGTATAACTTCTATTATCTCTATTTTTATCTTTCTAGATAAATAGACATAAAATGTCCCTTTCTCTGAGTTATTTACAAATTAAATTACTCTAACATATTTTTCATATAAATATATATTTTAAAATTATTTATTTTTAATATAAATGTTACAAAACTATTTTAAATACAAATATATGTTTCAAAAATATGTAATTTTAGTTTTTGTTTTAAAAATTCTATATATGTTAGATATCTACAAATACTTATAATACCAACAAATATATATAATTTATAATTACCCACTAAACAGATACCCATATAATTACATGCATGTAAGGGAGAATCATTACCTGACATCATAAGCCCTTTCGTACTCAGATTTTATACTTTAAAAGGTCGCAGGTTCTTTCTACTTGGACCAACACGCTCTTGTTCTGGTTACGGGTCCGTGATACGAAATGTTTACGAGAGGAGGCCCAAAGTTGGTAAGAAGTTCCAAATTCTTGATCATGCTGAACCAGAAGATTGATAAGCTGGCAGTTGAGTACATAGGTGTGACCCATGGGTTTCGACAATCGTGATTATTTGACACTCTTTCTACACACCTACTTTAAGCCATTGGTCCAATGACTTACCTTGAAAACATCAAATAACACACCTGGCTCACAAATGAAGTTGGGTTGAGTAACAAGGAGTCTTATCAACCATCCACCAAATCAAGACCAGATAGAAACCCCTTGTTTAAGGCTCCGCGAAATTCAGATGAAGAGAAAAGAAACAATGGATAAACAGACAGGATGATGGTAAATAAAATTGTACATACAAAATCTGATGTTTAGATATTATATTCCAGTCATGGAATTCAATAAATGGAAGAAAAATATTAGCAAAGTATTCACAAATTACAAGTGTTGTGCTCTCCAGTCCACGGCAAAATTCTCTTCACTTTCATCATCACTGGATGACTCTTGGTGTCTAGACTCCTCGGCTTCAACCTCAGATGATTTACTACGCTTTGCAGTGTTAGCAGCTTTAAGCTCCAATCTCCTCTTCTTCAACACTTCCACTTTCTCCCTCAAGAACCTGTAGAAGGATAAAAAGATAAAAAGAGATCAAGGGTAAGGGGGGTTATATTTTAGTACAGGTGGGAGAAAGAACAAAAAAGGGAAAGATAAAAAAAATGCTATACAGTTAAACATACTTTTGCTCTACAGATTCAGCTTCTTCTATCATTTCGGCTGCGTCAATCTGCTCATAATGACAAATGTTTAATTATATCTCATGTTTATAGTGAATGTGCATCTCAAGGGTTAAAAAATTTGCTCAAATATATATCAAAAAGAAAACGATGATCATCACCTCTTCTTCTTCCAACCGGTTGTCCACCTCCTGCAAGTCTTCTTGAATCAACTTCTCAAATTCCTTGTACTCGTCTCTAAGAGGGGATTTCAAAGAATACAACATAATTATATGTTCCAGTTTATTTAACTAATATGTAAATATTCTGTAAAATCGAAAAGAAAAGTTTTCACAGAACCAGAAATATATGCAAGGGTATTCACTAATAATCTAAAGACCAAGCAATAAAATTGATTCACCCATTAGATTTAACTCCACTAAAGTGAGAGAGGTATCCCTAAATTGCACTACTGGGAGTCTTTAACACCTCAATCAAAGGTTGCACTATACCCTCTAAAGTGCATCCTCACTTTAAATAAGCCAAAATCCTCGCGGCTCACCCATTATACCTCTATTCATTTGACTGAAAAGACTCGTAATCAAAGAATGGGGTTATAACAACACGATTAAATGTTGTTACATGCAGAGTAAACAAGGTTGATATACATTCATCTGATATTATGATTTATGAATTAGACTTGTTTTCAATCTCTTTTAGAGTACTTCAAAATTCAAACTTTAGTTAATAAAATAAGATAAAACCTAACAAAAATCTCACTGTTCTCTTTCTTATGTGGGTGACATTTTCTGCCACAGGACTCTGAATATTTCAGTTGTATTTACTTCCATGCAAACCAAATTCATGACTGTTAGATGTAGTAGTAACCAACAACATAAAGTAGGAACCTACTTGACATCTGGCTTAACAGGCTTTATGCCACGGGCTCGCAAATCAGCATCCTTATTGTCAAAAAATCCTTCAGGCAGAATCCCTTTTACTTCTGTATCAGTAGTCTTGACCGATGTGTGACTAATCTCCTTTTTGGCTTGGCTAACATTTAACTCTGCAGCATTGTTGCCCTCAAAATGACCTTTTTCCTTCTCCAAGTTTAACACCTGACTTTTAGAAGAAACCCCAGCTTTTCTACCAAGATCAGAGTCCTCTAAATGTTCTGGAAGTAAAAATGTCAACAAAACAAAAGATAAGCTAATATGAAGTGTTGCAATCAATGTTATCATCAATCATTAGCAACAAGAAGTCTCAAAGTGCGCAGAAAACCAACTGAATATACTCAATACAAAGAATGAAATATGAGAATAATGTTATTACTTCCTAGATTCAAATAAACTTGTTTATCCACTTCAATAATTAAATCGGAAAATTCCATGGTTTTTTCTATTACAAAATACAAATTTTGGCAGAATACATGAAAAAGCACCCAAAAAGTTGCATAATCCATTTCCAAGCAGGATACAGACAACTGTAGCCTACAATCATCTTGCAACATATCTAGAACCATTTCAATGTCCAAGACCATGGAAGTCATGTCTTACTCTTAACAATAATTTTTATAAATGAAGAAACTCAGTAAGAGTAAAAGAAGAAAATTACAAGGAAAGTGAAGGATAAGGAATCCTACATAAAGGGGAAAAAAATTCCATAAAGAAACAGAAGCAAAACAATGTAACACTTAATCAGGGACTACTTTTGAACAAGCATGAGCCTTTTGTGGCCTATAAACATGTAAAATGTTATTAGTTTCAATTATATTGAGCACCTCAGTGCAAATAAAAGTTTAGACCTTAGAGAAAGCTTGGAAGATACAGAAGGGATTTTCGAGATAGAAAGTAGTTTTGTATAAAATATGAGCTTGACATTGGAAAAAGGATTTGCATGAAAACGCTCCCAAAGGGTCAAGAGACCAAATCCAGGTGTCTGAGCAAGACAAAAGAAAATAAGACCCCAGAAAAGAGACACCAGTTCAGAAAATATTCTATTGTTCAAGTTACAAAAGACGTGGGATTTTGCAAAAAACAAAAAAAAAGAAGAAGAAAACTTACTCCCAAAACTATATGTATTGTAATTGTATAAATGGATAGGCAAAGCCTTATATATTAAAATACAAATTATGTATACATGAACAAATATCACTTATCAGTGCCTGGGGTATGTAATAGCAACTCTGTATATATAAATTTACAATATTATAAATTATAAATATGTACTTCATTTTCTAAATCAAATTCTAACCAGATTTTGTCTTTCCTGAATCCTTGTCATCAAAAAACCCCGGTGGAAGCACTGATGATGATTGAGGTTTAGACGCCTCTCGTGAACCTTCTGGCAGTTTGGATTGTGACTCCAAAGCATGTTGTGGTTTAGCTTTGGGAATGTTGGCATCAGAAACAGGCTTTGCATTGTTATGCTGAGTTAATCCAGCTGCATTAGCTTTCAGATTACTTATGGCCTGCCCAAAATAATCATATCCTTTAAGGTAAGCTCATTTTGGACTGGGAATTGAAGCAAAAGGGATTGTGAACTACAAAGGGAAACAAGCCTAAAAAAGACACCCAAAAAATGACTAAAATAAGACCATCTAAACATGTGCTAAGAGAATTTTGACCCAAAAAAATACCATTGAGAGATATTTAAATATTTAAAAGAATATACATAGTTATCAGTCCCAGATAAACAGCACATACCAGCCAGCTTGAAGAACACTATAGTAAGCGGGAAATGGGATGGCTGCTATTCTAAATATTATAACACAAACTAATAATTTATATTGCCATATAAATACTAAAAAAATTATGATGAATAATAAGACAATTACACACATTAGATAAAAATTAGTGGAAAGTAAACTGGGAAGTCTGCAGAAAGAAAAATGAACAGAATAAAGGTCAAAACAGAAATAACTTTTCAGGGAGAAAAGAATATCCTATAACAGATCAAAATAGAGGTAACTTATTGTGTGAACGATCAAGGAAGAAGAGTTTCAAATCTTGAATGTTTCTGAAGCAAAAAAATGCATCAGAGAATGAGAGAGAAATTATGCAAAAAATAAAAAATAAAAAATAAAAATAAAAAAAACCCAAACACATAATTTTAGTGGCAAAAGGGCCTTTTTCAATTTAAAGCCTATATCATGATTACAGCACTATAGCATTCAAAAAGCAGCTATTTTGGCAGCAATTGGAAACTGCTTTGTTATGTGAATCCTAGCAGCCCAGGGCTGCTCTGCACCAATACTCCACTATGGCACACTATTGAATAATATGCACATAATAACAAGAGCGAGAGTGTAATCATCACCTCACGATGCTTGCGAGAAACTTGATGTGCATCCCATAAAGACTCAGACTTTAGAACAACATCACAAACCCGGCAAACAGGCTGATCAAATTCATTATACCTGTATGTATATGCACAGAAAGACAGAAACATTTTAAAATAATAACAGGTATAATTTTTATATAAATAAGAAGGGAATAATTTTATGCTAAATATATATATATTGATAAAGTTTAATTTTATGCTGAGCCAGAAAGAAACATGTCTTAACAATTATATTAGTAGTTATAATCAGATGGAAATCATAATGCTAGTAAATGTGGATATTTGTACACAACTACACATTGTTACAAACACGAATATAGAAGCCATGTACATCAACACTAAACAGAAAATTAAACAAGTCAATAAAAAAGCATTACTGAATTTATAAGCAGAAGGTGTTTAAGAACTGAAGTGCCTTCTTATGTGAACAATGACAAATAAAACCATGAAGAATGAATTTGTAACTAATGCAGTATAGCATATACCAAATTAAAAATCCCATAGGTAAATTTGTGAAGAGAAAATAAATTGACGTTTGTGAATGTAAAAAGTACATGATGTACACCAAATACCAACCTCACAAGGGGAGATTCTATGCGCTTTTCCTTCTTCTGAGCATTCAATTTAGCACGAAACAAAGCCTTTTTCTTGGCTTGCGCATCCATGTTTCTGTTGCGTGGAAGAGAAGTGTAGCGTATAGGAAGACAATTGACAAAAGGAACAAAATTTGTACTGAAACATCAACAGCCAAAACCTAGTTCGGTCAACAGTTTTCCATTTCCTCAAAAAATAAAATAAAGAAGTTTGCCAATTGCAACTAACATTTTGTACCACAGTGGTTCTGTTTCGGGTGAAATGTTCACAACGAATTTTGGACCAACCAGTAAGCTGTTTTGAACTAGTACAACACAGTGAAAACAAGTTTGGAACTGGTTCTAACTGTTTAAAATTAAAACCAATTCAGAACTATTTCAAAATCCATTTTAAACTAGTTTATGAGTTCTGAACTAGTTTATTGTTGTTTTACTGATACCAGAAAAATAATTGTTTAAAAAAGGATTCCTTGCAGATTGCAGTTGCACTGAATGCTTTTCCAAAAAAAATCATATTTATTTTCAAAACCAAAACCAGTGAAGCAACTCGTGTAATTATTGCAATGGAAAAAATCCTGAAATACAAGTAACCTAAGCATCTATATAATTATCTCACTAGAAACAACAAGATTAAAACTAATTGAGAATGCAAAGGCAGATTAATGACACTGCAAAAAAGCATCCTTACAAGGCATCAAAAGTGAGGGAAAAAATATTCCTGTCATTTGAACTAAATTCTAAAGGAGTAATCCTAATCAGTTAAAATGCAGGCAGCAATCACTTGGCAATGCTACACAGAAATCGTACACAACGACAAGATCGCAAAAGTAATTCCCTCAAACCGCAATATGACTAGGTCAGGAAAGCAGTTAAAGAACAACCATGAAATTTTAAAATCCAAACCATCAAACAAACAACAAATTGAACATATGTTCATAAAGGCGTCCAGAGCAACACACGTGACTTCAGAGAAACTAACTCTAGTCTCAACTATATACAATTTTTAAATCATTTGAAAATGCTACACACAAACTGCACAACTGCACATAATTTTTTCACAGATACAAAAACAAACTTGAAGCTCACACATGCCAAGTACTCCACACCAACCAAAGAAACTAGAGCTGATTCCACTTCTGCTGCGCCAATTTGATACCCATTGGATATATCACAACCATATCAGACTTAACCATCAAATAGGATACAATAATATATGACTGAGCATTTTGCAAAGAAGGTAGGGAAAAAAAATCAAATTAAAACCTAATCCAATCACTGAATAATAGGAAAAAAAAAAAAAAAAAAAAGCACAACCCAGAAATGAAAAAACCAAATGAAAACAAAAAAAAGGGGGGGAATTTCTACCTCGAATTTTGTTGACCCCCTTTCTTCTTCTACCTCCTCAACAGTCCCGCAACAACAGAAAAACGAGGGGGTTTTGGAATGAAGTGTATAGAGATGTTCGATAGTGCAAAGATTGGATTCAGTACAATTTTTCATATGCTGAGATGAAGAATTTGGGGTTAATGTCACGCATCGAATTTATACCATCAGTTCTGATTGTCCTGCCATGTAAATTGGTCTTGTTTATTTAGGGGTTGTGATTGGGTATCCTTTTGGGTTTGGCTTGTAATTAACTTTTGATGTTTTTGTTGATTTTGAGTTATTTTTTAAATTTGTGTATTAAAAAAATCAAAGATAAAAATTAAAATAATTATATATTAGAAATTTCTGCTAATAAAACAAATGTTTAAATTTATAAATGCTTTCCTTAAATTTTTGTTCATTAAGTTTTAACATAAAAATGTCAAACTTAACATAAGAATTTAGTTGAAGTATAGAACCGTCTAAAAGTTTATTAAAAATTAGTTAATCATAAAATTTGAGTTTATTTTTCTTACAAAATTTGAGGATTTATGTCATCGCTAGCATTTTTATGTTGAGATTAATGATAGCCATGTCTTTTCAATTTTATCAACTTATTTTGTATGGTTAAGTTAATTTTTATATTGGGTAAATGAGAATTTAATCTTCTTAAATATTATCTCTTATATAAATAAACACTTTAAAATTTAATTTTATTGTGACCATTAGATGCATACTTTGCGGTGAGATTTTGAGTATGGATAACAAAAAGAAATCATTTATTTATCATTTATATAATATATTTATAAATAAATTTATTAAACTCATTCATTATAGTAAAAAATAAATAATAGATTGAATTTAATTCTTCCATTCAATTTTATGACCGGTTAATTCGTGATTTATCAACTACTTTTTCAAAATTTATTATTAATATAATAAATTGATGTTTTAAAAGATTATCTTGATATAAAAAAGTCTTATAAACCTTAAAAATTACATAAAAAGTAATAAATTATAAAAGAAATAATAGATAGATGAATAAAATACTTTAAAAAAATAAAATATTATTTTTATGGATGGATTTATCTATAAAAAATTAATAAATAGGTTTTTTTTCTTCTATAAATGGATTAAACAGAATGAGTTTTTAAGCAAATTTTTAATTGGTATAAATACACTAATGAATTAATTTTATCTAATCTATTTATCACTCATAATTTTAAGTGAGAATAAAGAGATAAAGAAATAAGAAAAGTTAAGTGAGAAAAATATTATGTTTCAAACGTTATTTTAACATTAAAAAGAAATAATAATAAAAATATCACATGTAAGTGAAATGAATCTTACAATAATAAATAATAGTAATACACTAGTGAAGTTATTTATTAAAATGGTTCATCTTACCTTTATATCGGTAGTGTAGGATTTATTAACTTATATTATTTAGTGGAACGCCCAACCCAATAGCTAATTTAGTGTGCTGGATGAGGATCATACAAAAGAAGCCCATTTACTTTAGTATGTCAGCTAAGTCTAGTTCTTTTGAAGTGTGTCATTCAAACATGGACTAATATTGATGCAGAATTTCCACCATATCAGAATATCAAATTCCAATTTCTGCATATTAAAATATTAATTGTTGTATATCAGAATATTGATTTTATTTGTATATTTGTATTTGATTTAATTTTCTATTTTTTATTTCATCTTTTTTATCCCTTATTAATTGGAATTAGCCTATTAATTTAAGAGAAATCATCGAAAAAGTTGTTGGAAGACTCGTATATATTCTCTTTGGTTTCTAATAAAGATAGAATAGCAAAATCAGATTCTTTATTTTCATATAATATTAGAACCTCCCAGAAAATTCCCCAAAACAAAAAAATCTCCGAGGCCCTGATTAAGAAATGTTTGTCATATAATGGCAAACCAACACACAGACAGCCAAGAAAACACCATCTTTAAATGATTTGAGTTCAATTGATAACTTAGGAAGTGTGAAGGGGTGTTAAAAAAAATATATTAAACTAAACTATTTTTAAAAACTAAACTAAACTATATTTGAAGTTTAGTTTTAAAAACTAAACTAAAAAATAGTTTAGTGTATATAAAAAAAATTTATAATTAGGAAATATTTTAAATAATTAATTAGAACTAAATTAATAAATAACTAAATTGGATTAAAATAGAAAAAATTAAATTATTTTAAAAATTGAACTAAAATAAATTTTATGTTCAGTTTTATAAATCTAAAACTATTTTTTAAAGAGTAGTTTGTTAGACTAAACTATTAATAAAACTGAATTCTTATTATTAATATTTTTTTCGTCGCTTTTCAATTTTGCCTATTGCTCATTTTTGAGTCAATATATTAATGGTTTAGTGTTTCTGGGCCCAACTACACATTTTTTTTATTAATTTACAGGATTAAAAAAAAAATTAATTTTCATTTATTAATTGAATAAAAATTTATATGTCTTTCGTAATTATTACTCTTTCAATATTCTTAATATAATTATTATAAAAATTAAAAATATATATTATATATGTATGTACAAATTTATCTCTTTATTATCCAAATAATTTTATTTTTGATGCTAAAAAATATTATTATTTTAATAAAAAAATTATAATATTAATTAATTGAGGTTAACAATTGAGTTTACAACATTATAAAAGTAACGGTATACATTTTTATAATATTTTTTAAAAGTCATACTATTTATAACGAACATATTAACTTTAAAAAATAGTTACATGTAATATTTAGATATTATTTTTAAACTTTTTATTTAACAACTAATAAGATCAGTAAATTGATTGAAAATTAATAAGATTTGATTGATTTTCAAAAAATATGAATGAAAGATATATCATGTGGACTTTTATCAATGTTATACTTGTTTTAAATTTCAAACTATTTTAATTTTTTTTTTTTTAGGTTCGTTCCTGGAGTATCCACCGCCGATAGCAGTGACTAATCTCCTCGCTACGTTGGAGGCACCTCAAAGGGTGGGATAGCTGGCCCCAAGATTTAACTATTTTAAATTTAATTCATAATTAATATTAATGATTTGGTAGCTCAATTTAAAAATGTTGATTTTAAATTTGTTTTTTTTAATATAGTTCAATTTAGTTTATAGTTAATAATAGTTTAATTTAGTTGATATTATAGTTTAGTTTAAACTCCTAGGACTATAGTGCGCTAAACTAAATAATAGTTTAGTTTAGTTTAATCAATATTTATTTTAGTTCAATTTAGTTTGGTGAATTATTTATTATATTTCAGTTTAGTTTTCTTCTAGTTTAGTTCAATTTACTAATTTGAACACCCCTAAGTGTGATCACTTAAGTCTAGTTTCAAGCTGAAAATTAAAAAGAATGGGCTAAGGCTATGAAGATCCTGTTGCAAGCACAACATGAATGAGGATTTGTGGAAATTAAGAACCATAGAACAACCAAAGGAAGGAACAATAAAGATGGAGGATTGGTGAACCGTGCAATCTATGTTGGTGTCATGGATATTAAACACCATTAAACCATCTTTGCGTCCAACTATCTCTTATGTGGAGAATGCAAAGGAATTGTGAGAACGCATTAAAGAATGATTCTCAACCTAGGATTCAACGACTAAAATTAGAACAGGCTCAATGTAAGCAAGAAGGAATGACCATGGTAAATTACTATGGGAAACTTAAGGTATTGTGGGATGAGTTAGCAAGTTACTAGCAAGTTCCATTGTGCTCTTGTGGGGGTTGCAAATGCAACATCAAGGCAAAATTAGAGAAGTAGAGAGAAGAAGAAAAAGTACATCAATTCTTGATGGGACTAGATGATGCATTGTACAGGACAATTCGATCAACTAGTTAGGGCTTATACTTTATGAGATATTTATTATGTACTTATTGTGTATACATTTATGTATTGGATATGTTTCAAAAAAAAAGTTCTCTAGTATTTTGTATGTATTACAGACCATTGAAAATATATCAACTGTCTAGTATTAATTTGCAGGTTTTGTTCAAGAACCTTCTCAAAATAAGGTAATCATTTTTAAAAAAATTCACAACTTTAAAGATTGGTCATGGTAATAATTGATCTTAAATATTCAGTTTTTAAGATCGGCTATTACCATAATCGATCTTAAAAGTCACACTTTTAAGATCGATTATTACCATGACTGATCTTAAAAGTTCAGCTTTAAGATTGATTATTATCATGGTCGATTTTAAAAGTTCAACTTTTAAGATTGACTATTAGCATGACTGATCTTAAAAGTTCAGCTTTTAAGATCGGTTGACAACCAATCTTAAAAAGTCTAGTTTTTAAGATCAGTTGACGATCGATCTTAAAAAGTTCAGCTTTTAAGATCAGTTCCTTTATGATTGGTCAAGGAACTGACCTTAAAAGTAACAAATGACCAATCTTAAAAGTATTTTTTCCACTAGTGACTTTCCTCATACTGATTCACTACCATCATTGAACAAAATGTATGCTACTCTAATACAAGAAAAACGGGTAAAGTTATATCTAGAACTAAGGAGGAACAAGGAGAAATTGTGGGTTTGGCTATACAAGCTAGTGGAAGAACAAGAGGATGTGGAGAAGAAAAAGACAAGACCATGAGATGTTCATATTGCAATTAAATAGGACATAAGGCCACAAATTGCTTTGAAGTGGTTGGGTATCCTAATTGATGGGAAGAGAGGTCCCACCATAAAACAAAGACAAGTGTTGGACAACAAAAAGAACAACATCAAGCATAAGGTTCTAGTCAAGGTCATGGAAAAGGCATTAATGGGCATACAAATGTTGCTCACATTTCAAATGGAGGGATGATTTTACCTGTAACAGATGCTGACAAAGGTGGACTAATAGGTTTGAGTAGCAAGCAATGGCAAACTTTAATTTGGTGGTTCTTCTTAACAACAACAGAAAGGAACATTTTAGAAAGAATGCTAGGTAAAAATGTAGTATGAATCATTGACACAGATGCATCCAATCACATAATTAGAAATTTGCGACTTTTACATGAGTTAAATGTAACATCCCATTTTTTCCAAATAGATTAACAAAAGATTTTCTAATCAATTAATTAGAGAACAAAATATTTTGAGTGTTTTGATAAGATAATATTTGTTAATTATATTTTTAAATTCCAATATGTGAAGTTAATTAGTTGGGATTTTTATTAACAGGCTATATGTATGGGTGAGATTTAGGGTTTTGT